AGGTATTTTTACTTACCAAGTGTTAATTAATTATTTATTTGTTGTATGTATTTTGTCTTCACAATGAGTGGTTAATTTTTGGGTAGTTCGCACCACCAATGGGGTTCACCTCCGGAGTTGGTCCTCCTGGAACTGCGGCAGACATCGGCTGCGCCAGGATGGACCACTAACCAACCTGCATCGGCCTACTCCTACGACAGGGTCAACTACACATACTGATGAGTACCCTGCATGAACAGTGATAAAAAGAACATTTCTTGTTGAAAATTAGGAAGTTTATCCAGCCATTTTACTCGTTATATATATTATATTTATTGTTAACTAGTTTTTAGTAAGTTAGTTTATTTTTATTAGGAGCCCGCCTTTTGCCAGACAGAGGCCTCCGGATGGAATTCAGCCCAATTCTTTTACTACTAAAGGTTATTGTTCACATTTTGATAATTCCTGCAAGTTTTTTGACAGTAACCTATTTAATAATATTTTTCTGATTTGTAAGCATTTGTGATATCTCTCACATGATTATTTTTGAACTTTATTTTTTTCTTGCTTGCCAAAACCACTTTTTTATTTGTACCTTTAGTAAACCTGTGTTCTGGATAGCCACCCGGCACATGGGTAGTGCGTTTCCAGTTTTGGGTGGGGTCGAGACTGGTGCCCGGTTCACTAGTTTATAATATATCCAGGAGTAATTTTCAATCTTAGTTTGATGGTGATCTTCCCATAAAACCAAAAAATTACCGGTAAAATTAGATTTTCAAAAATACGATCCAAACTATTTTTATTAAAATTGGCTATGTTATAGCCCTTTCAATTCTTTAAAATACAGTGCCACCCCCAGTTGTAGTAAATTTTATCTACGTAGGCATATTATAGGCCTACTAAATTAATAGAATTCTAAAAGAGTTTCATCTCAGTCAAGATTTTATTTTTGCTAAATTACACATTTTGCAGCTGTTCTTTGGTCTCTTTATAGGCAAGAACGTCATTTTTTACAAAAATAGCTCAGGAAAATAAGTATAAGTGTTGGATTTTAGTAAATAAAAGTGGTTTCAACTGGGCACTTCTTCTAAAAGACACACAATATTTGGATAAGATAATTGTGTTTGAGTTCAAAAATGAACTATTAAATTCAACAAAGCTACACAAATTATTAACAATTCATATAAAATTTTCACAAAAACAAAAACAATGGAAATAGTGTTACCTGTCTAAACATGTGAGCATTTTGTTAAATGGTGTGTTGAAAAAAAAATTGAATTAGGGACTATTCTAAATATTTGTTGCTGGTAGTGTGGCATACAACTATTATACAGGGTAACAAGTAAGTCTTAGGACAACTTTATAACTTTAAAACTTCTTCATTAGATAGCAAGTATAGATGCCACTTCGAAGTTCTAGACCATAAGAAGATCTGCGGAAACATCTCACCTGTCATGCGAGGACCCTGGATAGAAGAGTTAGCTATGCAGAACATCACCTTCAGTGAGATTGACTCTAATGGGCCTATAGATATACTAATAGGAGCAGATGTAGCACGAAACTTATGAACAGGTAGTCACAAGGCTCTGGACTGTAAATTGGTTGCAGTAGAAACAAAGCTCGGATGGACATTGATGGGGAAAATCCCAAACAAGCAGCATAACAAGCAAAATGCAACGAATTTGGTAACTTCTAAGCTGACTACAGGTAAAATTGACTACAGGACAAACATATCTAAGAAGGTTGCCGCAAACAGATTTCAAATATCTCAAATGGTTGAAAAGCTAAGGGGGGTGCAAGTTACTTTTCAGCCACCCTGTATATGCAAACAACAACTACTATGCTTGTGGTTTCATCAATATAAAGATAAAATATCCATAACAAATATCTTAACTTATAAAATAAGATTGTAGATTAGTTACAAGTTATATGATTATATGAAGCCATAAACAGTTTTATGGCAGTAGGCAATGGCCAGCGGCAAATTGAATATTCACGAAAATACTGATTGAATTAGAGATACAATTTACAGTCATCATAAAACTATTATTTTTATGATAAAATAGAATTGGGGAAAGTTGTAAACGAATAAAAGTGATAAAACTCAACAGTTCTTGGAAGTGCTTGAATACAACGATTATTGAATAAAAGTGATAAAACTCAACAGTTCTTGGAAGTGCTTGAATACAACAATTATTGTTGTGATAAAATGTTAATGGATTTGGGACTGCTAATGGGTTTTTTATTGCATCTTCACCCTAGTAATAAATTATGAAGATGTAACAAACATCTGATAAGACTTTTATGTGCTCAGAACCAACTATAGTAAATGATAAGTAATTTATTATTATAATAGGCTGTAGGAACCGAATTTGAACCTGATGACGGTAATTAAGCTTGTACCGTATCGTACCCGACAGTTATCAATAATTTTTTAAGTTCATTTCACTAGTAAAATGTTCCATGAACTTAGTGGTGGGAGGATATTAGAAGTTGTCAGATTATTATATACCCCTAGTGTAATAATTTGAATCAGCTGTTATATATTTTATTTTCTTTGTATTTGATGTTTCATTGCAGCTAAGATTCAGTTATGATTAAATGCTTATTGTTGTGAGTTCAAATTAAAAATAAAAGTGTGTTGAAAATAATAACTATCTGATTTTACGTTTTTTAAAGCTTTTTCCAACTTACATAGAATCTAATATTGATGTGAATTCTAACACAAACTAACACTCTGTAGAGTTTTAAATTTTTTCGGTTCTCCGTTTGTTATTATATTTCGCCCCAAAAACTTATAAAAAAAAATAATTTCCTAACGTGTTATATATTTCTATGTAGGGAATTAGATTGTCTACAATACCCTATGTTAATGAATTTCCCATAAAAAAATCTGTAGAACAAATTTTACCGAGGCTGCTTTTGAAATTACAAAAAAAATTTGAACTTTTTTATTTTTTTCACTTTACCGAAAAAAATACACTATCTAAATCATTATTATATTACTACGGTATTTCTAGATTCTCCTGCTCTTTCCGACCAAAATGAATATATGAGGTTGGCCAGGTTAACTTTAGTTATACGGTTGAATTTTTACAAATTTTCAAAAAAAGGTCTGCAAAATCGCCAAAATGGGTTAGCCATTCCCCACTTCTAACATTGTCCACTCCTAGGGTTAAAAGAAGTAGTTTTTATAGTAGACTAGCAGAGTACCCGTCCTTCGTACGGGGTTGGCATATAAGTGTAAAATAATTATTATTGCAGTTATACTCTAACGTAGCATTTGCAATGGGGGAGGACACAGTTTGATAAAATTTGTCTCTTTAAATTTACGGTATACTATAGTATTACACATCTACCATAGACATAATGTTCTAAATGTTCTACCACTTCACCTAAACAATAGAAAAAATACCCCCGCCGCAGCAAACCTGCCGTCTAAGCGAATTTCCATTTGGCCGAATTGATTTTCAATTGATCTATTTAAATAACATTAGGTTTAACGAGTACCTAGGTTTGCTGCTACAAGGAAACTAATAAAGTAGTGTGTTTTTAGTAAAATATTGATAGCTTACTATAAAATAAATAAATTTGCCAAGTTTGATCAAAATATATCCATAAACAAGCAAACTACAACATTTTACAATATTCTCCATAAGAATAACATGGGAATTTTAAATTTACCATTTTTTTAGTTTTCTCCGTAACCAATAATCGTACAAAAACACTTTGATATACTGAATTGTTTGTTTTTTTAAGCTCTTTAAGAAGGTTTGGAGAAAAATTGGGAAATTTTGTGTTTTGAGGGTAAGAAGTGAGAAAACCCAATTTTTACCCCATAAAACCCCCCATAACACCCTGTTCCCATGGTCCGATCATGCTGGATCGCGAACTCATTCAAGTTTATCCCGCCTTACACCTACAAACCAAATTTCATCAAAAACGGATAAAAATTACTCAAGTTATCGTGTTCACGGACACATATATATATATAAATCTATATATATATATACCTATATATATATACATATATAAAAATTTGAACGAATGGTGTTTTTGGCCTCTGGGGACATTAAAATGAAAAAGTAAATCGGTCCCGGGCCTAAGTCTTACCATGAGACCTACGGTAATAGCTACTTCCCTATAGGGAAATTCGCTAATAAATTATTAAAACTTCCCAAAATATCACAATTTATTTATGCAATTAAAAACATAAAGATAAATGTAAACAATCCTACTTTGACAGTTCTCATTGCCTATCACAGTTTTTTGTTGGTGCTTAGTTCAAATTAGCTGTTTTCATAAATGCAAAAAAAAAATAATAGTGCTGTACCCTGTTGTTAAATCTTTTAACTTTTTAATACTTTTGCATAATAGAACCATAGATAAAACATACTCCCTTAGTAGATTTCTCATCCTTATGGGACAGCTGAAGACAATTTTATTGTTAGTTCATGTACGGTTTATGTAGAGGTCGTGTTTTGTTTACAATTTCTTTCCCGTTATTACAGCCATTTAAAACCTCGTTTAACCAAATTATACGATCTAATCATAAAAAATAACTTGTACCCTAGTTATATAACCAAACAGTAAAGCCCAAATCAAGAAATTAACCCTAAAATAATGGAAACAAAGTTTCATCGACACTAGCGCCTTTGTGTCACGTACATGAACTAGACACGAAAAACGTGCTTCAAAATTTACAATGGGATGAGAAGTCTACTTGTGTTGGTTAGTCTATGATAGAACCAACTTTTTTAGTTGAAACAGCTGACTAAATTCTTTAATTCCCTTTAAATATGAATACGCATAAGGTTAACATTGGGAAATACAGAGCCACTGGGGCGGAGCCCGAAAGGATTTTTGAGATAAGAATTTATGCCTATATGTTAATCAGGAATATGAGCTATCATTATGCCAAATTTCAGCCCAATCCGTCCAATAGTTAATGTGTGATTGAACTTCAAACAAACAAACAAACACACAAACTTTCACATTTATAATATTAGTAAGATACTTACAATTTTTGAAGATTTGGCAGAGAAAAAACTCTAGATGGAATACTTGTATAGTTATTCTCTGACAGATCTCTGGAAAGCAAAACACAATACTTAAAAAGCTGAGTTAAAAAAAACTGTAATTTACAAAGAAAAGCTAAATATATTTTGTGTAGGCCTATAAATGGTTCAATGTCCGAAGGCAATTGTTGGTTCTTGAAAAATGTATTGCTTCCTGAAAACCAATATAAAAATCTTTTTAACTTAGGCCTAAGTTAATGGTATTTTGGTACCAACAAGGAAGGATTTTTTTCCTATAGGAAAATGCATTGCACCGTCAGGGCCAAGTTGTATTTTATACTGGTGTGTAGACTCTCCCACCAAAAAACTACACTATACCTAAGTCCAGGCAATGGATAACCTCTCGGAAATGCTGTATGCAATAATTCCAGAAACAGAAGAGAGGGTATCTCCATCAATCCCTGTAAGTTTACCTTTTTGTTCCTACCCCGAAACATCATCATAATCTCCTGCAGTCACAATTTTCAGGTGTAGACTTTCATAGGTGGGGCAAAAAACAATCGATTGAAAATATCAGATCGAAGATTCGATATAGGCCTATCAATTATTTCATTTGGTTAGTTAGGTTAGGTTAACCTGACTAACCCAACTTGATATAGGCCTATTGAATGAATTTATTAGGATTAACTTATTTATTTTAACTCTTTGCATGTACCTATTTTTATCTATTTAAATGTAAAACTATTTATTGTAACGTTTGTGATATAGCCTAAGTTATCTATTTTAAATACGCATGAAAAAAGGTGACTGTGATAATGTATCGCTATCGAGTAGCCTAGCTTATATAATGTGTCTCTGACGAGGTCTGTTGTAATCAGTGATGAGAGTACTGCTTCTGGACATAAGGTGGGTGACTGGGACGGGTGGCGTCGTCCTCTAATCCAACTACTAGGAAGTCACGAATTGTGGATATTTATAGGCATGCACTGTGGATGTGATACTCCCTGGTGTGGATTAAAATGTCCGCACTAGTGAGTATGACTATCCGCAGTGCTATCCTGATAATTAAGTTAGACCAATTCATAAATACCAAGGAAAAAATGTGGTTCAGACTCCATAAACTGTAGGTCCCTCAGTTGCCATTAGCTGTAGGCCTATGCGCTATTAATTAACAGCTGTGTCTAAGGAATATGTCGGCCTTAGTCACTAACAAGACTACAAGATCGCGCTACTCATCCTACACTCATCTCCATTCATACTTGGCTTAAAATACCCAGGGCCGTATTTAGAAGCTATGAGGCCCCCGGCGGCTCTTCTCTTACCAGAAGAGGCCCATCTCTATATTCTGATTCTTTGAAGGTTAGAACATAAGGGTTTAGAAATACATGTGAAATTGTTTCAACTTGATGAATTGACCTTTTGTTTCCAACAAGCTGATAAACAACAAGGGACCTAGGAGAATAGCTAATATGTCTATTAATTTCTAGCGCGAGCGCTGAAACGTCGTCTTCGTCTCCTCCTATCGCGGCGGAATCATGAGCGACTCATGTGGCGGCGCAGAATTGGTCAACATCTTAAATGCGATCACAGATAAATCATCTCCATCTTATCCGAACATGAAATCATTAACGTGATGGCCGCGGAGAAATATAGTTAGCATCTTGCGTGGGTGCTGAGACAGGGTTGGTACTAAATTTGGAAAACAAAATTCCATGACTTTTCGAGGTTTTCCAGACTGATATTATACTTTTTCCAGGTGTACCGCAAATTGATATCGACCAATCAAAATCAAGAAATATTAGAAAAAATGTAAATAGCTTATTTAACTGTTTTAATCACTTCCGAATACAAAACTTGTTTCAAACTATGTACTATATCGATTCCTCCCCCTAACGATAAATAGGCCTAACTATCGATGATATAAAAATGTGCTTCAGTTCTTATGTTGTTCTTTTGGCCATTAGGCCTAGTCATCACCCTGGTAAAACAATTTTTAGGTGCGTAATGTACCATATATCTGTAAAAAAGTAGTCTTTCAGGAGAAATTCCAGATTTTTTTCATAATTCCCTGACTTTTCCATGTTTTCCCTGACCGTACCAACCATGTGAGACGTCACATCTTCAACTTTTCCGATCGCTGCGGAATCGTGAACAACTCATGTGGCCAAGGAGAAATGGTGAACATCTACAGCGGCCATGTAGACATCATAATCGTCTCCGCGGTCACGAAAACATGGTCGTCGTCTAACGTGATAGCGGCAAAATCATGAAGATCTCTTGCGGGCGTGTAAACGTCATCATCGTCTCCCGCAGTCACAAAACCTGATCGTCGTCTTACGCGGTAGAGCCAAAATAATGAATATCTCTCACGGCCGTGTAAATGTTATCTTCGTCTCCTGCGGTCCCGAAGTCATGATCGTCGTCTTACGCGATGGCGGCAAAATAATGAACATCTCCCGCGGCCGTGTAAGCGTCATCTCCGTCTCCCGCGGTCTCGAAAACGTGATCGTCATCTTGCAAGATAGCAACAAAATCATGAATAAGGCCTATCCCCCGCGGCCGTGTAGATCATCATCGTCTCGTCTCCCACAGTCTCGAACAAGAAAAAAATAATAAATTTATGAGGCCCCCTCCTAGGCAGAGGTCCCCGGCAACCACCGTTAGAGAAATACAGCCTTGAAAATACTACTTAGTATGGTCGCCATTTCATTGAACAGTATTGTTAGACGACCAATAAAATACCGTAGGCCTACTTGATTACTTTACTTGATTAGGCCTACTTAAAAATGAAATAGGTAATTATTCCGTATAGGTGCCTCCAAACAAATTTTTAATTTTGATATCTTACTTTATATTTTTTTACCTCCTGAATCCAAATATACCATTATTTTTCACAGCTGATGAATATTTCTCAAGATATCGCCGTAATAATATACAACATTACAATAAACAAGGTGGGATGGATGACATTTACAAGTGGAATGAACTGTGGGTTAAGTAAACCAACCAGCTGATTGTTTTCAATCATAGTAAAGCAAATGGAAGTGACAACTTTAATTAGCTAACTCTGATTCTGCAATATGAAAATCACCTGATTAAGTTACACTTTTCACTTTCTAAGACCAATAAGTTAATAATGTATTATTGTTACCAGTATTTTATCCTTAAATGATTTATTGATTTATATTTCGCCGTTTAGAAATTACATAATAAAATGGTGCTATTCTAACATAACCTAACCTAACCAAACCTCTAAAATGTGTAAGCAAACTCCTTTTGATGTCAGAAAAGGCATGTCAGGGTGATAGGTCGTGCTTTATGTGAATTGGTGACTGCATTAAGTCCTTTGAAGGTAGGTTAGATTAGGTAAGTTTAAGTTTTGGTTATAATGTATCAAGTTGTTAGTTTATGTTGCCTGCAGACTGTTTTTGTAAAATTAAATTCCAGAAAAAACACTTCAAATTACTATTCGCTTTGAAGTGAATAGTAATAGTCGCGCTATTCGCTTTCGGACTACAACCAGTTCTTTGTCAACTCATTTAAAGACATAACTGAAGAACTGAGCAGAAAAGCCGCTGGAAACCGAAGCGGAGAAATCAGAGTCCAGGTACAGACCCTGACCCCTTTGGAGGAATGGAATCCTACTACGCAAGAAGAAGTAATTAAAATAGTTAAATCTTTCTCCAATCAAGAAGTCCAGATATCTACGGAATCTCACCTTGGATTTTCAAAGTCCGTTATAAATGAAATATCACTGCCTCTGTCTGAGGTGATAAATAGGTGTCTGCGGGTGGGACTTTTCCCAGACTGCCTTAAAATCTCAAGGACTATACCTATTTTCAAAAAGGGGGACGCAAACCTTACCTCAAGTTATCGACCAATCTCAATAATCCCGACTGTAGGGAAGATTGTGGAGAAGATTGTACAGAGACAGATTGTCGACCATTTTGAAGTAAATCACTACTTTACAGCATCCCAACACGGGTTTCGGAAGTCGAGATCAACAACAACAGCCCTCGTCTCCTTGATCAGTGAGGTTTTGGACTCCTTTGAAAATAGACAGTCAATGGCTCTGGTCCTTTGCGACCTGTCAAAAGCCTTCGACATTGTCTCCCACGACATATTGCTTGAGAAGCTCGGCTATTATGGAGTTGGCGGAGTTGCCCTCCAGACCTGTAAATCCTACTTAGAAGGTAGAAGTCAGATGGTAGCAGTGCAGGGCGCACTGTCCTCCCCAGCCGATGTGAAGTTCGGAGTTCCGCAGGGCTCAATAGTTGGCCCCACTCTCTTCCTGATACTGATAAACGACCTAGGTTGGGATAGAGATACTCTACTCTTTGCGGACGATACAACCCTGCTGGGCAGGGGGCAAGATCCTACTGAGGCAGTCGCTTGTTCAGAACTTCTATTCCAAGAGGCTAAGGACTGGTTCCTCATAAATAACTTGAAGCTCAACGAAGATAAAACACAAAGGCTCCTGCTCACCCTAAGCAGATCATCTCCATCTCCTGACCCTCCTGTCAAACTTCTTGGCTTCGTCCTGGACTCCCCAATTTACAGTGGGGCCCTCATATAAATTCTGTTTAAGACTAAGTAGAGTAATCTTCCTCTTGAGAAAACTGAAACTGCGCAGTACCTGCTGACAGTCTATTTTTCGCTTTTTCACAGCCATGTGGCCTATGGCATTCAACTGTGGGGACATGCCGCTGACAGCAGTCGTGTGCTTCGCTTGCAGAAACAGGCACTACGAGTAATCACAAATAGTAGGAAGCGGAAGCCATGCAGACCCCTTTATAAACTGTTAAACGTCTTCAAAGTCTATAACCAGTACATCCTTGCCTGTGTTGTTCACATTAAAACCAACCTGAGCAATTTTGAACTCCGAGAAAATATTTCATTTAATCCAAGTCAGTAAAAGTTTGTAGCAAACTGTTAAATTAGCAAACTTATTGACGGTTTACAATTAACATATGTTATTCTTCTCACTTTTAATTTCTGACAACAGCTGGAGTTTCATAACAATGTTTGTTTCCCATGTTAATCTTATGGAGAAATACAAAACTTTAAAGGGCCCCAGGGCCTCACTCTCTAATTATTTTCCTAAAAATAAAGTTTCCTGCACAACTTAACGTTACGCTCTTTCCAATGACACCAAAAACATGTCAATCGGTACAGTAGTTTCGGAGGAGTAATTGTCACAAAAAACCTGCTTGCGTATTAAATAAGTATAGATATATAGATAATCAGAAACAAACATAACCTAGTAAATATCCAGGAAATAAAAATATTATTTGAAAAAATTGTTAATTTAACGTATTAAATCAAGACTACATATTAAAAACCAAAAGGTTATGGGAAATACTGAAATGACATATTTGCTTTCTATTTCTGTATTTTTTTTTAGTTTCCTAGTCACTGTCACTTTTTATGTCAATTATATTTCCTTCGTCCTTCTCGTCATCTACATCTCCAAATCCACAAAAATCGTCTTCATTGTTACTTGACAAGTCAATCTCATCCTCATCCCTTTTCGATCTCAAGGATGTCTTCATTTTCTTCCTGTCCTGTTTCCTCTGGGTTGTCTTCTGCTTGCTTACTCTCTCTTAGAGGTTGAGCATTAATGAGTTTCCAGTTGTAAGAAAGAAATGTCAGTTTTGCTGCTCGCTCAGGTTTCTTTTCTTGGAATGCAATAATTAAAATCCATTCAGTTTCATAAATTTAAAAAAAAATTACAGGAATGTACATGGAATGACAACTCTTAGATTTAAATGTAAGAATTTTTACTATAGGTAACATAGTTTTAAGGTTCTTTAACCGTCAATAGGCTATGTGTTAAAACGTTCAGAATTTTAAAAAAATTATAAATTCCCAATTTTTGGGAATATTCCCAGTTTTGGGCCAAAGAAATATTCCCGGCAATATTCCCATTTTATAAGTTCCCTCCCACTGGGAATATTCCCGGCCCACATCACTACGTAGCCATCTTTCCATCATCCCTGGAAGTTTTTCTTTTTTTTAACTTGTATATATGTATATATATTGTTTTATACATTGAACTGTTGTACACGTTGTGAAGAATTTTTTTTCTTTTGTGCGTGCATAAGAAATGTTTTATTTATTTTTGACGAGACGCAATCTATCCCTATTTTGGGTAAAAGATGAAGAAGGAGTAAGTAAGTAAGTAAGTAAGTACTTATAATAAACTAAACTAAACTAAACTAAACTAACCTAACCTAACCCAACTCAACCTAACCCATGCTTAGGTTAACAATGTGCCAAAATGACCGATTCTGGGTAAACCCTGGTTAAGTTAACTTAGGTTAGGTTAGTATAGTAGGGCCTATTAATTTATTGACACCAAGTAAAAAGAAGTTGGTAGGTACAGTTTCTTATCTAGGCTACATATGCTAATAACGATTATTAGTAAACCTTCATTCAATGTTTTCACTATCAGCAAGATTGGTTGGTTAGGTTAGGTTATGACAGTTTAATTTTATGATATACCTGATATATTGATTATTAAACGATATTTTCAATTTGATAGTTTCAATCAATAGCCTATTAGCATTTTAAGTTAGTCCGGTTAAGAAATCGGCGTGAAACTGGCAATAGAACAGCAATAACCCATTCCACTTCTCCTACCGCCCCTCCGACGAATATACGTCATAGTAAAACGTCACAACAATGATGGCGTCACAGCAGGATTCGTCATAGAGTAGACGACATAACCTCCAAAATATCAAGAGGCGGGAATTTTTTTTTGCGAAACACGGCCAAGATGGCGTTTGGCGGTACACGCACAGCGTTGATTATGAAGGTTAAGTAATATATATGTATAAAACTGTACAATACGTTGAATGAAATTAAACTACTATTTCATTATTTAGAGAATGAAGAACAATATTAAACACGTTTGAGGTTATTTTAAGTAGTAACCACCTCCAATTTTTTCCAAATGATAAAATTAGCTGACTACCATAAAAACCTATTGCTGGCGATTCCCCTTAAATTTTTCTTCAGTTTTTCTTTTGATACGCGTTAAACACATGATTATGAACAAAAAATTACCTCTTCTAGGTTAGCCCACTCTTTAATAGTGTAGCTATGTATCCTGGAATGCACTTCGTGTGACCTCGGTTGCACGCCGATGCTATTACAAAAATGTATATTCTAAATGTCTATTTACATTATTTATCTGGTATTGAACAATACTAGGCACTTTTAAGCTTATTAATGTAGAAATCACCTTGATATTAATACAAACTAATAAACTACCTAAAATTACTAACTAATTATCGTAAAAACCTATTGCTGGCATCTCCTATTAAATGTTTTTCTCGTTTTCCTTTTGATATGTGTTAAACACATTGTTATGAACATAAAATGACGTAGTATAGGTTAGCCCACTTTTTAGTAGTGTAGCTATGCAGCCTGGAATGGACCTTATAGTAGAATAATAAATTACCATAAATTTCTATTGCTGGCCTATCCCTTTGGCACGATTTTCTTCATTCTTTCAAAATATGTTTATTACATCATTACGAACTAGAAAACACGTCGCCTAGGTTCGTACACTCCTTTATAGTTGAGATAGGCCATTTTGATTGTAGCTGGTGTGACCTCGGTTCCATAAGAACCTAACTTACTAAAAATCACTTTTTTCGTTTATACATGTTAGTTACACCTTAATAAACAATACCTAACACCATTTCGATAAAAAATATTAATATTTATCAATTTTATGCATTATTTAAAAACTGCCTCAAAATAACAATAAATTACCATAAATTTCTATTGCTGGCCTATCCCTTTGGCACGATTTTCTTTATTCTTTCAAAATATGTTTATTACATCATTACGAACTAGAAAACACGTCGCCTAGGTTCGTACACTCCTTTATAGTTGAGATAGGTAACTTTGAATTAAACAGGTGTGACCTCGGTTCCATAAGAACCGAACCTTATTTACCAAAAATCAACTTTTTCGTTTATACATGTTAGTTACACCTTAATTAAAAATACCTAACACCATTTCGATAAAAAATATTAATATTTATCAATTCAATGCATTTTTTAAAATCTGCCTCAATAGAATAATAAATTACCATAAATTTCTATTGCTGGTCTATCCCTTTGGCACGATTTTCTTCATTCTTTCAAAATATGTTTATTACATCATTACGAACTAGAAAACACGTCGCCTAGGTTCGTACACTCCTTTATAGTTGAGATAGGTAACTTTGAATTAAACAGGTGTGACCTCGGTTCCATAAGAACCTTATTTACCAAAAATCAACTTTTTCGTTTATACATGTTAGTTACACCTTAATTAAAAATACCTAACACCATTTCGATAAAAAATATTAATATTTATCAATTTAATGCATTTTTTAAAATCTGTCTCAATAGAATAATAAATTACCATAAATTTCTATTGCTGGCCTATCCCTTTGGCACGATTTTCTTCATTCTTTCAAAATATGTTTATTACATCATTACGAACTAGAAAACACGTCGCCTAGGTTCGTACACTCTTTTATAGTTGAGATAGGCAATTTTGATTGTAGCTGGTGTGACCTCGGTTCCATAAGAACCTAACTTACTAAAAATCACCTTTTTTCGTTTATACATGTTAGTTACACCTTAATAAACAATACCTAACACCATTTCGATAAAAAATATTATTATTTATCAATTTAATGCATTATTTAAAATCTGCCTCAGTAGAACAATAAATTACCACAAATTTCAATTGCTGGGAATCGCCAGCAATAGGTTTTTATGGTAGTCAGCTAATTTTATCATTTGGAAAAAATTGGAGGTGGTTACTACTTAAAATAACCTCAATTGTGTTTAATATTGTTCTTTATTCTCTAAATAATGAAATAGTAGTTTAATTTCATTCAACGTATTGTACAGTTTTATACATATATATTACTTAACCTTCATAATCAACGCTGTGCGTGTACCGCCAAACGCCATCTTGGCCGTGTTTCGCAAAAAAAAATTCCCGCCTCTTGATATTTTGGAGGTTATGTCGTCTACTCTATGACGAATCCTGCTGTGACGCCATCATTGTTGTGACGTTTTACTGTGACGTATATTCGTCGGAGGGGCGGTAGGAGAAGTGGAATGGGTTATTGCTGTTCTATTGCCAGTTTCACGCCGATGGTTAAGAAAATGTACCTGAAAAGTTTTTCATGCGCCTAAAATCGCAGATTTCTAGCATTTTTCTTGATTTTCAAACGCGATTTTCAGGGTGAAATACTTAGGCGTTTCCCCCAAAAGTGCCAATGGTAAAAAGTGCTTAAAATAGTCTAATTTAGGTAGATAAGGCAAAAAAATGCAATATAACATAAGTAGTATAGCCTAAGTTCAGTATTACCTAAGTTAGGCCTAAGTTATCTTAGCCTATATGGAACTGCAGCCCTTGAGGCTAAAACCAGGAAGGTAGGCCTAGGCCTAGGAGTAACCATACCTAAGGTTCTAAGTTATCGGGGAGAGAAACTTAACTTAGGCTAACATCTTCTTGTGTCAGTAACTTCAGTAAATAAACTTAGGTACTTACGTATTAAACGGAGGCCACATTTTGTCAGCGCGCTGCGGCGGTTATGTTAGGTTGGGTTATCGTAAATATTATGTGTGTAGGACTTTCCTCGCTTCGTTATGAATCGATACCAGACGAGTTATACTTTCTATTATGATAACCCAACCTAACATAACCGCCGCAGCGCGCTGACAAAATGTGGCCTCCGTTTAATACGTAAGTACCTAAACTTATTGTAACTTACCGGTACCCTACTTTCATGTAAGTTATAGGCCTATTGTTAGTTTAGAATATACTTACAAATTTATAACATCTGAACTGTTGGACAAATTTCCGAAATCAAGATCATCTAATGATGATAACTTGAAGTCGTTTCCACCACATTTAAATTTAGTAGGCCTACTTGATTTGGAGCAAACACAAAAAGGTGGGCAACTGAATTCATCACTGGCAAAAACACTCGCCAACTTCATTAAAATATTAAACCAAAATAAGTAGTTACAAACTATATTATTGGTCATTATTATAGTTCAGTTATAACTTGAATAGAAAATTTTAAGTATAGCATCCCACAAGCAGTTTATTTGCACAGTTTAACTTTCTGAAATTAGGAAACGTAGCCTAAGTTGTATCGTCTGTATACCGTGTGTGTGTAGGCCAACGTAGCCTAGTTTAAAATAACTATGGTAAAATAACTTAACAAACACTTTCCAAAAACCGGCATCGGCAATCAGTGGCACAATAAGTAAATTACTTAGTCAAACATAAATATGCAAATATGGACTGTGATTCAAGAAATAACTAGGCTGTTATTAAATCTATTGATTTTTTAAACATGTATAACCTCCTCACGATTTTCTACATAATAAACGTAATAATAAGCGAACGTTTCAACCACAAGTGTCAATGACAAAATATAAAGAATGTCCCATACAAGTTTTAGTTCGATTTCCATCCCCAATCAAAATACTCCATCATCATAACACTTCATTTTTAATACACTACGGTACGGGTACACTAATCGAAATTTTCGAAAATGTCCCGATTCGATTCCCGAAGGAAACGGCAAACGCATTCATCTCGCTATGAGTCTATGATTATGATAAGCTAACGCTAAAGCACGGGTCACACTAGGCTGGCATCAGCGGCGAATTGAAAGAAGCCGCTACTGTCAGCTTGATGTGACCACAAAATTCGCAGCTGACACTGAGCTGACCAGTGGAGCTGACTCAGCCTGGGTGCAAGATGCATGGAGTAAAAGATTTTACCATAGATTAAACATACTCCCTACTTACTACTCCATGCATCTTGGGATTGGTGAGCCGGTGATGCTGGTGCCAGCTGCTGATCACCAGCGGCTGACAAACAGCCTAGTGTGACCCGTGCTTAAGCTAAAAATATGACTCTACTATGAGAGTTTCCGTTTTTAAGAGATGAAAAAAGAAGGGCCTACTTGTCAATGCCAATATTTTGACAATCAACCATCAGCAATAAAAACAAGTTGGGTACAAATACGCCTTGCAAATAAATACCAGCAAAAATAAAACCAAAAGGCATACCGTAAGTTACCATAACCTTGAACCATAGATTAAATGGTTAGCCTAAGCCAGAAACATGAGGCCTAGCTTTTACCTAGCTACCTAGCTACCTAGCTTTTAATCCTATGGATTAAAATCCTTGATTTTATCGCTTGAAAACTTTGCGATCTTTAAAAATATAAATACTGCAAAAGTGTTTTGCGTGTATTTTTAAGAAAATGGTAAATGAAAAGAAGAGGTGATGCACTGAGTTATAATGACGGGGATGTTATAAAACAGGGTTAGGCACGGTTAGGGCTAATTATTTTACTATGTTTTGATTTTTTTAGGGTGTCCCCACGATTACTAGTATTCGTGTGTGTGCCCAGACCACAATTGTAGCGTCTACGGCCCTGTTTCGTAAAAGGTGACATGTACGACAGGTGACAGGACTATATTTGACATGTATGACATAGAAATTTGTAGAATTGTAGATACGAGAGGTCGTCCAGTGGTCGAAACTCGACCAAAAATATGTAATGTAATAACTTATCTATTTTCACCCCACACTGTAAATAAAACATGTGATTGGAGTTTCTTCCATTTGTTTTGATTTTCTGTTTATATTTCGTTGTTATTTCGTAACCAGCATAGCAACGCATAAGATCCATGTTAATTTTTTCAAATTTTTAAACTCATTTTTTGTGCTTATCTTTGAGCCTATTTAAATTTATAAAGGGGTTCTGCACACCTACAGGAAAATAGCTTTCCAACGGTATGCGTAGATTTTCCCTACGATGCACACGAGCTGAGAAAAAAGGTTTTAAAGAAACATGCTTGCCTATTAATATATAGACGAGAGGTCGTCCAGTGGTCGAAACTCGACCAAAAATATGTAATGTACTAACTTATCTATTTTCACCCCACACTGTAAATAAAACATGTGATTGGAGTTTCTTCCATTTGTTTTGATTTTCTGTTTATATTTCGTTGTTATTTCGTAACCAGCATAGCAACGCATAAGATCCATGTTAATTTTTTACAACTTTTAAACTTATTTTTTGTGCTTATCTTTGAGCCTATTTAAATTTATAAAGGGATTCTGCACACCTACAGGAAAATAGCTTTCCAACGGTATGCGTAGATTTTCCCTACGATATGCACACGAGCTGAGAAAAAAGGTTTTAAAGAAACATGCTTGCCTATTAATATATAGACGAGAGGTCGTCCAGTGGTCGAAACTCGACCAAAAATATGTAATGTACTAACTTATCTATTTTCACCCCACACTGTAAATAAAACATGTGATTGGAGTTTCTTCCATTTGTTTTGATTTTCTGTTTATATTTCGTTGTTATTTCGTAACCAGCATAGCAACGCATAAGATCCATGTTTTTAAACTCATTTTTTGTGCTTATCTTTGAGCCTATTTAAATTTATAAAGGGGTTCTGCACACCTACAGGAAAATAGCTTTCCAACGGTATGCGTAGATTTTCCCTACGATGCACACGAGCTGAGAAAAAAGGTTTTAAAGAAACATGCTTGCCTATTAATATATAGACGAGAGGTCGTCCAGTGGTCGAAACTCGACCAAAAATATGTAATGTACTCACTTAACTATTTTCACCCCACACTGTAAATAAAACATGTGATTGGAGTTTCCTCCATTTGTTTTGATTTTCTGTTTATATTTCGTTGTTATTTCGTAACCAGCATAGCAACGCATAAGATCCATGTTAATTTTTTACAACTTTTAAACTTATTTTTTGTGCTTATCTTTGAGCCTATTTAAATTTATAAAGGGATTCTGCACACCTACAGGAAAATAGCTTTCCAACGGTATGCGTAGATTTTCCCTACGATGCACACGAGCTGAGAAAAAAGGTTTTAAAGAAACATGCTTGCCTATTAATATATAGACGAGAGGTCGTCCAGTGGTCGAAACTCGACCAAAAATATGTAATGTACTAACTTATCTATTTTCACCCCACACTGTAAATAAAACATGTGATTGGAGTTTCTTCCATTTGTTTTGATTTTCTGTTTATATTTCGTTGTTATTTCGTAACCAGCATAGCAACGCATAAGATCCATGTTAATTTTTTCAAATTTTTAAACTCATTTTTTGTGCTTATCTTTGAGCCTATTTAAATTTATAAAGGGGTTCTGCACACCTACAGGAAAATAGCTTTCCAACGGTATGCGTAGATTTTCCCTACGATGCACACGAGCTGAGAAAAAAGGTTTTAAAGAAACATGCTTGCCTATTAATATATAGATAGATAGATTATCTACAATTCTACAAATTTCTATGTCATACAAGTTTAAAAATTTACAATTTTATGTAGAATATTTTCTATAAATACTATGTCAATGTCTTGACAAATTTGTCTGATTTGTGTTTCATAAAACTTCTAGTGTGACATGTAATTTTTGAAAAATTGTCGAGGAATATGTTGACAATTATGTCGATCAAAGTCTTCAAAATAAAAATTGATTTTACAATGTAACATTTTTGTCAAATTGTCGGAATAAATTGACATAGGGTTCTGCATGTGTAAAGCCATTGTCATTAGTAATAGTATGAATGTAAACTGTAATTTTTAAGGTTAATTTTATCTTTGTTTATAAAATTTTCAATAAGTTACGAGTTCAAGCGAAAGTAGTTATAGTTAGTATATAGCAGTATATAGTACTATACAGTATATACAGTACTCAGTTGTAGTTAGTTACTCTTGACAGTGATGTTGGTGAGGTAATTATATTACCAAGGGTTTTCAAACCAAGGATAAAATTCCACGGTCCTTTAAGTGACTTTGCTTTCAAGGAAAAGTTTCGTGTAACCCAACCTGTGGTTGAGTTATTAAATCAGAGAATTGGCCGGCACTTGCAAAAAGAAACGATGCGCAATCACGCCCTCCAACCAGTGAAACAAATTTTGTGTGCACTGCACTGGCTAGGCTGTGGTGTCCAATAACACGTGACAGCAGATGCACATGGACTTTCGAAAGCTACAGTACATCGTTGCGTAAAAAATGTGTGTTCATTGGGAATACTGAATCTTTTTCAGGAAGAAGTAGCTTGGCCAACCGAAAACATACAAACAGTGACGCAACTTAATAGCTGCTAATTTCCCATAAGAGTAGCAGTAGTTTGAATAGTTTGATATATATTCAAATATATATTTAAAATATTACCAAAAAGCAATGCAAAATATCAATTAAATATAAGTTTTGAATATAAAAAATAAATTCATAATATATATTGATAAAATAAGTATAGAATCTATAGTATACATATTTTATTTGTTTATTTTTCCTATTATATATTTAAAAAAATTATGTGTTAAAAATATTGTAAATATATATATATACAATATTTTTGAAAATATATTATATATTTAAAGTACTTATAAATATATTTTGAAACACGTCAGATATTTTTATAAATAAAGTAATAATATATTTGTAGAATATATACAAATCTATTATAATTGGCAAATAAATAATTCGCATCTTTTTGTTTTTTATAGTGTCTATAAATTTATACATGCATTTTTTTAAGAGTCAGTTTACATGTTCGACATCTACATGTGGGTCAAACGAAAAAAGTGTTGATGGGTTTTATTTTTTAATTGCAGTATGTGACAATGAATGTGATCATAGAAATGTCGAATGATTGGCTAGAAAAGGGTGCTAGTGACTGGTGACCTTTTAAGAAACTAATTACTGTTGTATATGACGTTCTAAAAATAATTATTTGATTTACTTATGTTATAAATTACATAATATTTGTCATAGTATTTAAATTAATTTTTGTAGTTTACTGTATTTGTATTCGTGGGGACTACTCACTATTCCCTACAACACTATTCAACTCAACTACTTGATACCAAAACAGAATCATATTATACTGTAGTATTAAAAATATTTTAAGTATTGCAACCATTGCAACTGTCGGCTACTCTTTCACCATTTAAAAACCAAGACTAACAACAGTTACGGATAGCTCAGAGGTAAGGTAAGAAGCTCACAAGACGAGGGACCCAGGTTCAAGACCCATCCGGGCCAAAAAAATTTTATCTAGTTTTTTTTCAAAATTTGTTTTTATGAACTATTTAATCAATTTACTCGACTGATTATTGTGCTTTTCATACTAAATCTATATAATTTTGTGTTTTTATGTTTAGGCCCCATATAGGATGTTTGAAAGTGATATTAAATATATTTTTTATTTAAATATTATTCACTAAAATATATTATTGGAACATATTTTTTAAATATTTAATAGATTCAAAAACATATATTTTATCTATTTAATATATTTTAAATATATAAAATTGACATTAATACACACTTGAGATATATATAATAGATTTTAAATATATTTATTCATATGTATTTAATATATATTTGTGCTACTAGGGGATCAGTGCATGATTCCCGGGTGTTATGCTCTACATTATGTCGTGAAAGAGAAAA